ATGACTCCAACATCCTTTTCTGCCTCTGTACTGATGAGAAGGGAGTTCCCCAGCCTGTAGGTAAGCTGCTGGTTTTTCCTCCCCAGGGGCAGTACCCTGCACTTGTCAATGTGTGAAACCCATCCTGTTCTCATCCACTCACCCCGTAAGCTGTCTAGGTCTTATTGCAGCCTATTCCTCCCTTCTAGCATGCCCACTTCTCCCGACATCTTAGTGTCATCTGTGAATTTGAACAGGGTGCTTTTTACCCCCTCGTTCAAGTTGCTGATGAAGATGTTGAACAGTGCAGGCCTGAGGACGGAGCCCTGTGGAACCCCACTGCCCACATCCCTCCAGGTCGAATAAGACCTGTCCACCACCATTCTCTGCATGCGGCCCTCCACCAATTAGTGACCCATTTGACTGTGTAGGTATTGACGCCACAGTCTCCTAGTTTCTTAATGAGAATGAGGTGAGAGACAGTGTCGAAGGCCTTCTTAAAGTCCAGAGATACTACGTCCACCAGGATAATTCTCTCAAAAATCTTACCCAGGACCAAGGTAAAACTAACACACCTATAGTTTCCTGGGTCCTCTTTCCTCCCTGTTTTTGAAAATGGGAACCACATTGGCCCTTTCCCAGTCCTCTGGCACCACACCAGACCACCACGAGTGCTTGTAAAGCCATGCCAGGGGTCCTGCAATGACCTCTGCTAATTCCCTCAGCACTCTGTGGTGGAGATCATCAGAACCTGCTGATTTAAATACATCCAGACCCTCCAGAAGTTCCCTGACTAGGTCCTCTCTGACCCTAAGCCTAGGTGCACCTCCCCTGGGGCCTATGGGGGGGTTTCAGTGGGGGGGGAGAAACCTGGTCCCTGCTCAGAAAAATGGAGGCAACAAACAAAGAAATTGTTACATAGGTTATCTTTGCTGTTGGGTGTGATGACCAGATTTCCTAGTGTGTCCTGCAGAGGCCCCACATTACCCAGTACCTTCTTTTTACCCCCAATGTATTTAAAAAAGGACTTCTTGTTGTCCTTGATCCGGGTAGCTAGTCCCAGTTCCATCTCCACCTTGGCCTTCCTGACTGCCCCCCTACAGCCCCAAGCAACAGAGGTATAGTTCTCCCTGGTGATGGCCCCTCTTTTTCTTGGGTGTATGCCTCCTTTTTAGCTAGATGTTCCCAGATGCTTTTGGTGAGCCATGGGGGCTTTTGCCCCCTCTTGCCTCCTTTCATCCATGTCGGGATTACCTCCCTTTGGGCTTGGAGGATTGTCTCCTTAAGAAATGACCACTCTTCTTGGACACCCAACTCCCCTCCCCTCCAGGACCTCAGTGTCTCCCCAACTATTCTCCTTACCTCATTGAAATCTACCCTCCTGAAGTCCAGGGCTGTTGCCTTGCTGCAGGCCTTTGCCACCTTGTGCTGAATTCCAGCAGGCAATGATCACTGTCGCCCAGGTGGCCAAGTACCTGCAGACCCCTCACCAGGTTGTCACCAATGGCCAGGACCAGATCCAACAAGGTGTCTCTCTTGGTGGGGCTGTGCACCTCCTGGGTTAGATGGAAGTCCTGTATCTCAGCTAGGAACCTATGTGAGCGGTCAGACCTGGCTGATTGCTCTTCCCAGCAGAAGTCTGGAAAGTTTAAGTCACCTTTGATGACCACGTCCTTTGACTTAACTGCCTCCATGATCTGACTTAAGAATTCCCGGTTTAGCTTTTCCCCTTGGTTGGGTGGTCTGTAGTAGACCCCCGCCATTAAGTCCCTTCAGCATGCCCCCCAGAGGATGGTAGTCCATCATTAGGTGATCAGGGCTTCTCCTGGCTGCATCGCTAGTGCCCACTGTCGCGCCCAGATGCCGGTGCACCCTTGACCTGCAAGCCTGGGTCGGTACGACCGGCTTGGTGCTAGGGGGGATTTATGAACGGACAGGTGGGTGTTAACGGCGAGCATGAGTCAGATGGTTTAAATGGTTTAATGCGCATTGGTTACACAGAAAGTTCATTTTACTTACGCTACTGATGGCTTGCAGCGTAGGCAGAAGCAGTTGATTTCTTAGTTACAGCATGCAG